AGATAAGCCTGTCCACAAATCTCCAAGAAGATTCTTTGAATCTGTATAGACATTTGAGAGAGGTAGCTCAGACAGACTAGGGTGTTAGTCCCACAGGCTGACAAATCCCAGGCCTCAGCCAACTCCAGAGTCCTCAAATAAAAGGTCCTAAGAGCCCTGCTCTCTGTGACCTCATTACATGGTGATAGTGGGCAGGGAGGATATGACCAGAGGCACAGGCTTAAATGCCTCTCTTTCTGTTTTATTCACAGATCTCAGGCCGTCAGGTTCTCACTCCACATCTCAGAAATATCTTTCTGACCACCGAATGTCCACGGGCACTTCTATCTAAAACTAATCCATCCTATAAAATCTGACCCAAACCATGCCTATGCTATGAAAGTCGTTCCTAACCAGCTTAACTGAAAAGACCTTTTCTTCTGAATTTCACAGACAATGTCTATCTCTGCGATTCAGCATCTCACCTTGACCTGCTTTGAGGCTCCTGGGACTTCCTGAACTATTACTTACCTTCTCATGCATTCCTATCTTATCTTCACCTTGCATTCTCCTATACATTCCACACAGGCACATACGGGACCACAGTGAGCATTTTTTTATGCCAGACTTCTATATTCCTGCTTGGGTAGGCTCTTCATTTCCCATACAGTCTTTCCTGCTTCCAACCACCTCAAAAAGATACTGCCATGGGGCGCCTGGGTGGCTCAGTTGGTTAAGCGACTGCCTTCGGCTCAGGTCATGATCCTGGAGTCCCGGGATCGAGTCCCGCATCGGGCTCCCTGCTCAGCGGGGAATCTGCTTCTCTCTCTGACCCTCCTCCCTCTCATGCTCTCTGTCTCTCATTCTCTCTCTCTCAAATAAATAAATAAAATCTTTAAAAAAAAAAAAAGATACTGCCATGATACACTCCACCCTCTCCTTTGTTTTTTTTTTAAAGATTTTGTTTATTTATTTATTTGAGAGAAAGAGAGAGAGAACAAGCAGGGGGAGGAGGAGAGGGAGAAGCAGGCTTCCTGCTGAGCAGGGAGCCCGATGTGGGACTCGATCCTGGGATCATGACCTGAGCCAAAGGCAGACGCTTAACGACTGAGCCACTCAGGCGCCCTTCCACCCTCTCCTTAATTGGACCAATTCTCACCAACTGTCTGCGCATCAAGTCCAAGGGCTTCCTTTTTATTTTCTAGCACCTCCTGCAATCAATCTGAGACAGACACTTTCTTTTCTTACTCCTCTTTTCGATTTGCTTTTTCTCAGTCACATTCCACACCATCTTGAACTTCTTCATCCCAAAATGACACACTTAATAAATCAGCACTAGAAAAAAAAAAGTTTGCTTTCCTGATGCACGTGTGTACTTCTTTTTATCAGGCCCAATTTTTTTTTTTAAGATTTTATTTATTTATTTGAGAGCGAGAATGAGAGAGAGAGAGAGAGCATGAGAGGGGGAGGGTGAGAGGGAGAAGCAGACTCCCTGCCGAGCAGGGAGCCCGATGCGGGACTCGATCCCGGGACTCCAGGATCATGACCTGAGCCGAAGGCAGTCGCTTAACCAACTGAGCCACCCAGGCGCCCCTATCAGGCCCAATTTTAAGCTTCAGTTTCTATTTCTTACTAGTCATCCTTTGTGCTCTTGTTGTTACAAGCTACTTCAAGTCACCTTAAATCAAGGCTGCATGTGTCTTTCTAAAACAAGGCATTATATTTGTACTGTAAATATTCCAACTCATTCTGCAAAATCAATTTCCTCCTTTCTCTCCCCATCCCCCTCCAAACAGAATGCACACTCCATATGAAGGGATACAGGGATTCTCTGATGGTCCCTGGTGCCTAAAATAGTGCCTGACACTTAGCGGGGCTTGGCAGGTTCTGGTGGAATGAATGTTGGCCGAATGAACCTCCAAGCAGCCTCCCAGATTCTGCTCCTCTCCACCTCTTCTCTGCTTCACAGGAAAATGGTCAAGAACATAAAAGCCAAAGTGAAACTGTCAGGGTCCAGTCACTGGCCCACCATCTAAGTAGGGGTATGATCTTGAGCATATTACCTGACTTCTCTCAATTGCAATCTCCCCGACCGTAAGTGAGGATATGAATAGGCTTCCAGTGAGGACTGAGCAGGATAATGCAGATGAAGTACTTGGCACACTGCAAAGTGCACACACCAAGAGCTAATCGTGGTTCTTTTGTTCCTGCTTCTCCCAGCATAAGCCCGCCTTTCTTTCCGAACCTTCTCACCTGAAAAAAGACTGGGCCCTGACAACATTATTTCGACTCACATATGAGCAAATCAATAGGCTTTGAGCCTATTTGAGGCACTCTGAGTGAGGGCTTGTGAGGTTTTTTTTTGCCTGTGAAAAATATGTATGCACTTCAGTGACAGAGCTTAGACATCTACTGAGCGGCCCCCGGCCTCTATGTTTCTGCACTTACATCCCAGTTTTCCACTCTGTTCAGATAGGTTACATTGCCCACGAGTGCAGGTCTGCGTAGCTGGCTGCTAGGGAATAAACCAAATGGCCTGTGTTACACAACTGAGCAGTGAGAAAAAGCTTTCTATGTCACTCCTCATTTTACAAAATTTATGAAAAAGTACACTTTACATCTTAGGTCTTTAAGAATCTTCATGTGCCATTCTGATTTTAAGAGCTTTTCTGTAAACTAAATATTAACCAGGAGAAACCACTATCTTTATTGTATGTCTTACTCCTCATACTCTCCACTTTGCTGGAACTTCATATGCAGTAAATGTCAACACTGTGCAAACTGGGGGTGATTTAACTCTTGCTTTATTTTGATTTTTGCTCCTCCAAATAAAGAACAGTGATCAGTAAATATTTCTTTAGAACAAAGGGCAGAATACATTTGGTTTACAGCCAGCTTTTGACCTGAGGCAAAGATGTTTTGCAGAAGCAACCCTTGAATACATCGGGGTACTCACATTTCACAAGAAATAGCTGGCTACGTTGAACACACTTTATCTTTTCCAGGTTGTCCTACATTTCTACAAACGTTGGTGACATTCCCTATCCCATAACTAAAATTGCATTTTTTGGTTGGGAAATTCATATTAAGATTCTGAGTTTTAACTAGTTATAATTCTCTGAACATTAAACATGTGCAAGGAAGGGTCATAATTAAAAACTGGCAAAACTCACAGCCTAAGTTCACCACAAGCAAGCAAGAGAGGAGAACAGGAATATTGTGGAGCATTTACCTCACATGGCAAGGTCTTAACTGAAAAAGGTGGTCCCTGCTTTTAAAAGCACAGGTCTCAAAGACATGCCAACACAGCAGACACATCAAGTTCACTCAAATTTGGGAATAAACGTCTGCATAACTGAAGTGACCAACAACTTTCAAACCCCCCTACTGACCATACAAACACGTATCATTGGTCATGCCAGCTCTGTTTTCCCCAGTCATATCCAATCCTTCCACAGTCCCTGGTATACTCTAAGGCAAAAGGGAAGTAGAACTTAACAAGATTTTTTTTTTTTAATTAATGATTCAGGCAATTCTTGGAATAACTTCCACTTGAGAAAATGTAACTAAGAGGTCCTATCGAGAGACTCCCCAGCTGCTGAGAGCTCAACTCTGGAAATTCCCTCCCTTTCGCTCATTCCTGACTATCCCTAATGCAAGTCACAAAGTTTAATGACCCTAAAGAGCCCTTTTTTGCCTCCAGCGAACTTGGAATTCTTTCTAAATATTCATTAAGACGCTCAAAGATGTTTACTGAATTGAAGTCGAAAACAAAAAGCACTGGAAACCTAGCTCCAAAAGCCTTGCTCCCTCACCCAACCCCCTTCTTCCCCCAGGAGAGGAAACTGGGAGATCTGGAGCTGAGAGTTGAGCCATCCAGTATCCAAGGGGTCTGACACTCAGCCCATGAGGTGATGACAGCCAGGAGGTCTGGGCAGTGGTTCCAAAATGGGGCACCCACTGCGCTGGGAAATGTTGGGCGCTTGCCAAGATACAAACCCTGCCCCTCAGGGAGCTGAACCGGATGGTCGGAAACCAAGGCAGTTCTAAGGGATCCCAAGGCCCGAATCGAGTTCCACCACCCTCCTTCCTGTTTATGGATCCCGCTCCAGGAACTCCAACTACCAAAGAGAAAGCAGACGTCTCAGAAATATGTCAATACATGACATAACTTGAAAGAGCTGGCTGCTCATTGGCGCGAGTTACAACTTGTCGGGTTCACACAGGAAAACCGGCTCACTTTAATTACTTTTCTTTTAATATGCCATGCCGTCCCCTTCTGGGCCCCCGCAAAGATCGGGTTACTGAGAACCAGCGAGCCTCGGCGGCAGGACCAAACCGTGTGGGCGGTTAGCGAAAGGCAAGGAACGCCGGAGCCGAGCCGAGCGCCGGCGAAGTGGCTGCCCATTCGGATTGGCGACAACACCAGCGACTCTTCCCTCGCACAGGCGCAGGAAGAGGAAGCCTGGCACCTCCTCGCAGTCGGCACCAAGTTGCCCGACCGCCCGGTGATGTCGCGAGGGGGGCCTAGCGGCACTGCGCCGCTGCCCTCGGGTCGACCCCGGGCGCGCCACCTTTGTCTCGGTTTCCCCGTCCGGACGGGCGACGCCTGGCGCGAACCGGGCTTGCCTTGGTCGGAAGCACCGGCCGGGCGCTCGGCTTCCCCGGCCTCTGCTGGGGCCGGGGAAGCCGACGCGGCCGCCCCAAACCTCCCACTTCCACAGCGCGCCCGCGACTCCCGGCCCGGCCGCCACTTCCCTGGCGCGGCCGCCGCAGGGTGGGGAGCCGGAGACCCGCGAGCTCGCGGACGCCGCAGCCGGGCGCACCCCAGTTCTCTGGCCAGGCGGGGGCCACCTTGCCCTCCTCGGGGCCCGCCTCTCCCGCGCCCACGCGTGTTCCTTACTCTGGAGAGCACCGGCCAGAGGACCCCCAGCGAGGCCAGATCTGACGGGCCGCGGCGAGGGGAAGGCGCGACAGCCAGTCACCCACACCCACTGGCTGCCCCTCGGCCCTTTTCTCACCTGCCTGCACCGTGTCCGAGAGGTCGTGCCCTGGGGCCGCGGTCCTGGGAAATTCCTTCAATTTCCTGGCGCTGAGGTTCAACCCCCCGGAATTGGCCGCTTCCTCCAGCGCGCGCTCCAGCCCCCGGTTCAAGGGCAGGTTGAAGCCCCCGCTGCCGCCGCCGCCGCCGCCGCCGCCTCCCCCGACCCCGCTGCTGGCTCCGGTTCCTCCGTGGTGCTGATGGTGGTGGTGGTGGTGGTGGTGGTGGTGGGGATGGTGATGTGGGTGCAGAGTAGCCACCGAGAGGGCAGGGACGAAAGGTTGGGGTTCGCTTCCCGGCGTCGCCATCTTCTCCCAGGCCCCCCCACCCCGCCCCGCCGCTCCTGCGGGGGGGGTCACAGCTTTCCCCCGGGAGGGGGAGACTGGAGCGCGGGCCGAGTCCCTGCAGTGCCCCACCGGAAGATACTGGAAGAAGGGGAGGAGGGTGTGGCAGGCGCGCGGAATGGGGGGCAGTCGGGGAGGCGGCAGTGGCAGCTCGGTCTCGAAGGTTTCCTGTCCCCGGGAAGCTAAGGACTGCGGCGGCGGCGGCGGCGGCGGCGGCGGCAGGCAGCGCGCATGTGTCTGCTCCCGCCCTTGCTCCCTCCTCTCGGCGGCTCTCCCCTCCTCCGCCGCGCCGCCTGCTCTCTCCTCCTCCTACCCCAAGCTGTCAGTCCAGCCCTGAGCCTTCCTCCGCCCGGAGTCGGGCGGGCCCCCAGCGGTTTCGCTACGCTCCGCCTGGCAGTCGGGGGTACGTCAGGGGGCCGGACCCCGTTTCCGGGGTGACCTTCGTTTAGACGCCCAACGACCCTGGGTTTCCTTCTGCTGCCCTGGGTATTTGGGGGGACAAGAGGTTTTAGAGGGTCTGAGAAGACGCCAGCGAGGCAATAGATGGGGTTTGAAATACAGTGAGATCATGAGGAGGTGAGAGGTTATCTCAATTCTGCGAACTATACTGCTCTCTGACCCACAGCTCCCCAAGAGGCAGTTTCTCACCGTGGGGTCAGACCCGGGGCATTTGGGCGCCTACAATGAACCAGTGGTGGTCTGAGTAGTCTACATTAATTATCTCATTAATCCAGGGATCCCGTGAGCGGAAAAACTGTTTCCCCAGACTACAGAGGAAGTAAAAAAAAAAAAAAAAAAAAAACTTGTCTAAGGTCACCGGTGCAGTCCGTGGCGGAGGGGATGCGAACTTGTAGCCCTCAGACTGTAGGGTTGCCCTTCTTCCTGTGTAGTCCCTGGCTGGACCCCAGGGCGAAGAGACAAATAGGAGTAGGGCAGAAGGTATTCTGAGCGATGGGGGGAAACTACAAACACAGAAAGGAAGGACTTTCAAAATGAGGGTAGTTTTGATGGTGGACAGAATCCACTGGCACATGAGGGACAGAGGCTGGCTATGGCTGACTGAGCCCCGAAGTTGAGTGGTGCAGAGAGAGGTAAGAAAACCAGTGACCTCAACTAGCCAGTAACAGCACATTTTGAGCCCGCGCACAGGTACCGTCAAAGTGTCCTCGTGCCGCTTCTTCTTGCCCCCAAAGGACATGGGGACTGACGTGTAAGCAAATTCACGTTCTGCCCAGACGTGGCGACAGAACATCTGACAGCATAGGGCAGACCAGCTGAAGACTGATAAAACCCCACTCCCTTCTGAAGTTGTAGCTCCAGCTCTCTTGGGCCTTCATCTCTGCGAGATAACCATCTTGACGGTCGCTATGAGCGACTTGGCTAGGAGAGATGAGGATGCTTGTAGAAAATACTACAACCCTGCTGGTAGGTGAGCCAGTCTTTCAAATGGTAGTGCAGAAAGATGATGGCCTGGGCAACAGGCTGGAACCGGTGACTTCGTGTACTCGGCACTAAAGTACGACATGATCTATGTCACTTGCGTTGAGTGCATGCACAGTCGCCCTTAATTCCTACAGGATTCTAGGATGCGTAAAATATTCTAATCTCGTAGGGGGACACAAGCGCCACCTGCTGGTATCTCCTCCCAAACCTCCTCTCTCACCAAACTCTTAATCCCCTCAACTTCCCAGACTTTTAAAAACCAGACTTGAAAATAATAACAATAATAAATAAAAGCACACTTACATCACTTATAAAAACTAACCTACTTTCCCCTTTCTTCACTGGTCTTCCCCTGAAAGGTGAGTGAGAAACAGAAACAGGAAACATTTTCACTCAGTGTCTTCAGCTAAAACCAGGTGGTAAGTCTGTGTGATCAGTATGCAAGGTATGGTTGAGGACACTTAGCAGATTGCAAATTTAGTTCAGACCACAGATTGTGGTGATGCATCATATAGAGCATCATTTTTTTTTTAAAAAAAAAGACCACAAATTCTTTTTTAGAGGAAATGATGGAATAGTTCAGGATTTGCTTTTTAACAAGTGATCAGTCTTTATGTTAGAATGACATAGTCATTATAGTTTGCTTTTCCTTCTACAGACTACAAAGTGTAAACTCTTTGGGGGCGGGACCCATTCATCTTTGTAACTCCCACCCCATATCTAAAAGAGTACTTTGTGTATAAGGCGCGCACAATAAATATTGGTAATTAAGCATTGCACAATAGGCCAAGAGCACAATAAACCTGTCTATTGCACAATAGAAAGCTTGCCATTTGTTGGTATGTCTTTCAAATTATGTCCCTGAATGAAGGATTTTTTTCCTTAAAATGGAGGAGAGAACTTGACCCTTAAAACGGACCTTGATTATTTCTAAATACTTAAGAACTTGACAAACTATTTTCTCTTGCTGTCTTGCTTCTGTATTTTTTCAAAAAGATGGGCATCTCTGTTTTGTCACTCTTTTTACTTCTTGTGAAAACAGTACCATCTTTCCATTCACTCTCCCCACTCCATACTTACAGTTCTTCGACACAGCTGGTCACCTCAGTTAGTCTAGAAGTGGACTTCTGACCAAATGACAGAACAGCCAGAGGATCGGAAGGTCCTGAATATGTTCAAACCCTAGATTCTGACTGTTCCTGATTTGCATCTTTGGTTTCTATGAGATATCCAGTACATTTGTAATACATTCTACTGTTCACCTAAGTCAATTTTATTTGGTTTTCTGGCAGTGTAACCAAGAGTTCCAATTAATACATTCAATTTACCATATTTTAGTCTTTATTCCCCCTTGTTTTCCTATATAACCTCATTTTTGGATGGTCTACAAATAATCTTTTACAAACTATTTGGATAATGTCAGCCGATTTTTTTCATGTTTTATCTTTATTACCCTCCAATCATCTTACAAAGTTAACAGAATTCAAATGATTGAGAAAATGGAGGAAATAGAAACAGTCTCAGATTAAAATATTGGCTATTAGGAGAAAAGTGATCCGTTTCATCAACAAACAAAAAAATTTTAGAACCCATTTTTTTTTTTTAATTCCTCTTGTGCTCAGAAAAGATACCAGACTTTTCCATATTTAAGACCCATTTTATTCTTGCCTGGAAAATAGAGCTGTGGACAAGCTTATGAGAATCAAACTTATTAAGAATGGCAGATAGATTTGAGCAGGGCTAGGGGCGCCTGGGTGGCTCAGTTGGTTGAGCATCTGCCTTGGGCTTGGGTCATGGTCCCAGAGTCCCGGGATAGAGCCCTGCATCGGGCTCCCTGCTCAGCAGGAGTCTGCTTCTCCCTCTCTCTCTGCTCCTCTCCCACTCATGCTCTCTCTCTCAAAGGAATACATAAAATCTTAAAAAAAAAAAAAAAAGATTTGAGCAAGTCTATTTGGCCTATACCACCTTCTCAGAAAGCCATGAAGAATTCCCTTTTGGTGGGAACTCGAAGCATTTGCTGAAGAGGTAGGCATGGTCACCCAGGTTTGACCTTCACGGTCCTGACTGCCCCTTCCAGCCATAGCTAACTCGATAAGAGGGGCTGACACAAGATCTAGTCAGCCCCAAGCAGGGGAGTTCACCCATCGGACTCTCCTGAAAACTGAAGCAAGCACACCGAGACCAGAGTCAAGTAACAGCAGGTATTTCACCCCAAAGGCAGCCAGAGTCAGGGCTTATTCCCATCTTCTTACCTTGATATTCTCCAACCTCCCTGCTTCAGTTTCCTCTTTCTTAAAAAAGGAGTAAGAATATTCCCTGCATAACACCAACCTTTTTGATTATTCCCTCCACATGCTCTCAGACTTAAGTATTCTCTTTGCACTATATCAGTAAATATTTATAAGTAGATATTTATCTGGAAGTGATCAGAATGTGTTGTATTCATTTGTATTTAAGTACATCAGGGGCAGGGCTCAGGCCTTTTTTCCCGAGAGCCCAACGTGTGGCAGGAAGACAACACTCTGACCTAGAACTTCTGAGAGATTAATAGCATTTTTTAAAAGATTTATTTATTTGAGAGAGAGAGAGTGAGAGAGCACGTGAGCGAGCCATGAGTGAAAAGGGCAGAGGGAGAGGGAGAAAGAATCTCAAGCAGATGCCACGGTCAGCATGGAGCCCTTTGTGGGACTTGATCTCACAATCCTGAGATCACTACCTGAGCTGAAACCAAGAGTAGGACACTTAACTAACTGTGCCACCTGGGCATCCCTAATAGCATTTTGAAAGAACCTGTGAGGGAGAGATAGCTTGGACCACCCAGCATGTAAAGATGATTGTGACAAAGAGCTTTTTGGCTTGATTAGGTTGATACCTCTTTGAGTAAGTTGTAAGGAGAAAATGTCAGAGACCAATAGCTGAGCCTCGGGTTCCTGTCAGAAGTTTCTTAAGAGGCTACTGGGGGAAAAGCCACTGGACAATAAGGACTAAAGGGCACCAGCTAACAGAACTTTAACTTATAAAGAAATGTATTTGGGGGGCACCTGGGTGGCTCAGTCGGTTAAGCATCTGCCTTTGGCTCAGGTCATGATCCTGGGTCCTGGGATCTAACCCCGAGTTGGGTTTCCTATTCAGTGGAGAGTAGGCTTCTCCCTCTCCCTCTGCCACTCCCCCTCCCCCACTCGTGCTCTCACTCTCTCTCTCACTCTCACTCTATCTCAAATAAATAAATAAAATCTTTTTAAAAATGTATTTTTGAGTAACTGGCTTTTTAAAGATTGAATATAAATATTGAATTATAGAAGATATTAGATAACAACTTTACTATGATTGGTCCCCCTAAATATTTCATCTATTTTTTATATTGTGTGTTATTGGTTTACAATATAATGGCATATTACACTATTGGCTTGTAATACAGTAGTCTCCCCTTATCTGTGGCTCTGTCTTCTGTGGTCTTGATTACCTGTGGTCAACTGTAGTGTAGAAGCAGATGATCCCCCTAGCATATTATCAGAAGGTCAATAACAGCCTACCTACCCCTATGTCACAATGTCTGTGACATTCCCCTCACTTCATGTCATCATATAGGCATTTTATCATCTCGTATCCACAGAATATTGTTATAATTGTTTTATTTTTTTATTCTTGCTAATCTCTTACTGTGCCCCATTTCTATATTAAACTTTAGCATAGGTATGTATGTATAGGAAAAAAACAGCATATATATGGTTTGATACCATCTGTGATTTCAGG